TTCACATTATCCCAGAGATTTTCCTCAGTCATTATACAGACTTGGGTGTATCATCTTTTTAATAAGTCTGTTGGTGGATACGCAGCTGGCCCCAGCAGGCACATAGGATAAACAGTGTTGGAATGCACATGCTTGTATATTTATGTTGGTATATATTTTAAGTGCAGATTTCTAGGGCTGAGTCAAAAGAAAATTTTGTGTGTGTCTGCGTGTCTGTATGTGTCACTGGGGATCAAAGCTAGGGCCTTGCACAAGTGGGGCAGACTCTCTATCACTGAATTACATCCCCAATACTTTTAAAATTTCATTTTGAAAAAAAAAATTCATTTTGAGACAGGGTTTTGCCAGGTTGCCCAGGTTGGCCTCGAGCTTGTGATACTCCTACTTGAGTCCCTGAAGTACCTGGGATTATAGACCTGTACCACATAGGGAAGAATGTTTTAAAATTTGATGCCAAAGTTTTCTTTCTTTTTTTTTTTTTTCGGAACCGGGGATTGAACTCAGGCCCTTGTGCTTGCCAGGGAAGTGCTTATTCCACTGAGCCATCTCCCTGGCCCCGGCAAAGTTTTCTTCCAGAAAGTCTTCCACAGTTTTCATATCCACCCAGTGTGAGTAAATTGCTGGCTATGGTGGTACATAACTGTAACCCAAGCTTTCTGGGAGCCTGAGGCAGGAGGATTGTAAATTCAAGCTTTGCCTGGGCAATTTACCAAGACTCTCAAAATAAAAACTACAAAAAGGGGCTCTGGGTGTACAGTGGCTCAATCATTGGTTTAAAAGCACTGTGTGAAGAGTAGCTGCTTGCAGGTGGCTGTAGAGAGACCAGGACACTATATTCCTGCGCCTGCTGGAAGCCCTTTGACATCGGCGGTGGTGAGATTGAGCATCTGTATGAAGTAGGCCCAGCTTCTCTGCTGGGTTCAGGGGCTGGCTCCCTGCACAGCCTTTGCCCCCTCTCTTGCAAACCTGCATGCGGGTTTGAAGAGGGGTCAGCAGTCTCTCAGGTGGACATCAGGTTTCCCTGTTCGTCCCTAGAGTGGGGACAAATGACATTGTCTTCTGACTCTTCCAGGTAAAGAAGGCATACAGACAGAAGGCCCTCTCCTGCCACCCAGACAAAAATCCAGATAATCCCAGAGCAGGTAAGGTTCAGAGGGCGCTAAGAGGAAATCCCCACTCACTTGATGTGTGTTTTTCCACTGTAAGCCCCATGTGTGAGGCCTGCTCTAAGCAGGCACCCAGGGCCTTACAGTGAGTCACTTGTGCTCTCACCTGTTCATGCTGGCCTGGCATCCACCAATTCCAGCTCTTCTACCCACCCGTGGCTGCTTCGGAATGCTTTTCTGAGGAAGCACACTGACACCAAATCTAACTTCCTTTTTTTTTTTTGGTTTAGCTGAACTCTTCCACCAGCTTTCTCAGGCCTTGGCAGTGCTGACCGATGCTGCAGCCAGGGTGAGTGCCTCCTCCTTCCGTGACTGTCCCCAGTGGACAGAGACCACTGCTGCCATCAGCATCCATCCTCTGGCCTCAGGCCTTGCTGTCCAAGCCTTGGAGGCCCAGTCACAAGGCTGCTGCCTGGATGGCTCTGGGCTGGAAGTCAGGGGTCAGGAAACTCCTGGGGCTGTGTCCTTTTCTCTGGCCAACTTACTGCTCTGTGTTCCTTTGTCCTGCTAGGCTGCATATGACAAAGTCAGGAAAGCCAAGAAGCAGGCAGCAGCAAGGACCCAGAAACTTGATGAGAGAAGAAAAAGAGTGAAGCTTGGTAGGTGAATAGCTCCAAGTGGTGCTTAGCTTTTCTCCCTCCTTGTCTTCCTGGAACGTCACTTCCAGCTATTCAAAGCCTTTTAGTTGAGGTAAAACACTCTTAGGAATAATAGTGATTACTAATTTATTATTAAAGTTTACGAAATTTTTGGGGCTGGGATTTAAGCTCATAAAATATGAGAACTGATGTTCTTATTTCCTGTGTCAGGCCAGGTCTCTGCCATTCATTCCAGCCTCATCCTAGCCCAGAGCTAGTATAGCCTCTCTCTACAGGATCCCAAGAGATCCAGGCTTGCTTGCTTTTGTCTATATGTTCATCTGTCTGGTCGGTCGGTCAGTTGGTCGGTTGATCTGTCTCTCTCTCTCTCTTTCTCTCTCGCTCCCTCCCTCCCTCCCTCCCCCTGCCCCGAGACAGGGTCTCACTATATAGTTTTTTTTTTTTCAAAGTTTTATTGATAAACAGATAGCAATGAGACAGTTTCAAATCAAATTGGAAGTACAGTTTCAACAAATACACTATATAGTTTTGTCTGACCTTAAACTCACTATGTATCCCAGGTCTAGCCTTGAGTTTGGGATGACTCTCCTACCCCAGCCTCCCGAATGCTGGGATTACAGATGTGTGTCATTATGCCCAGCTTTCTTTTCTTTTCCTTTTTCTTCTTTGTGGTCCTTGGGATTGAACTAACGGCCTTCACATTGAGCTATACCCCAGTCCCTATAGTCCTTGGCCTCAGCCTCCAGAAGTGTTGGGTTTATAGTTATGCAACAACAGCTCAGACTTTTTCTTTTCTTTTTTCTTTCTTTCTTTTTTTCTTTTCCTTTTCTCCTGTCTATCTGTTTGAGACAAGGGCTCACCATGTAGTTCAGGGTGGCCTTGAACTTGCTTATGCAGCCCATACTGGCCTTGAACTCGTGGCAGTCCTCCTGCATCAGCCTCCTAATGCTGGGAGTACAGTCATGCCCCACCACACCTGGTTTCTTTCTTTTTTGGTAGGGTCTTACTGTGTAGCCCAGACTGGCCTCACACTCACAGTGGTCCTCCAGCCGAAGCTTCCTGAATGCTAGGCTTGTAGGCATATATCACTATGCCTGACAAAGTCTTAAGTGTAAAGATCAGTGATTTTTAAAAATTAGCAGGTGCCACTGTGATGATGAATCAATTTTAAAACACTTGCATCCCCCCAGTAAGATTGGTACAGGCATTCTCTACTCCATATTTTCTCCTTCCTGCCTGTTCCATGTGCACATATTTTGATAAATGCCTGCACCATTCTAATGCAGTCAGTTCTTTACCCAGAAAAAGAGGGTGGGCTGTGAGCATAACTTGTAGAGCACTTGCCTAGCATGTGCAAGGCCCTGGGTTTATTTCCTAGTATGGGAAAAAAAAAAAAAAAAAAAAAAGAGGTTGTAGGTGAGTGTAGGTGAAAAAAGTATGCAGAAAGGAAAGCAGAGTCCAAGGCCTGAGAGAACTGTTTGTCACAGTAGCTGGCCTGGCACAGGGCCCTGGCAGGTTTCCTGGGGAGGAAGGTGAGGACACAGAGCAGGGGTGATGCTCTGTACTCCCTGCCACCTCTAGGGGAGTCTCCATAGTCAGTCCACTGTAAGACTTGGTAATGGAGAGCTGGACTGGGGGTGGGACAGCAGGAGAGACAGTGAGAACTGGAGCTTAGTGGTCCAACATGAATCAACACAAGACAAAGCCCCAGCTCAGGCCGTGGTGCCAAACCACAAGGAGCAGAGGCCAGCACTCCACCCACGGGCATCCCTGACACACAGCCCTGGGCTGCTGACATAAGCACCCACCCGCACCTGCTCTGTATGTGTGTGGAAAGAACCAGCTTGGTCAGTGTGAGCTGTTTTAACTCTTGAGACCCCTGGCCACCTGGCTGGAGCCCGTCTTTCTTCTGTGCTCTGACCTTTCTCAAGAAAGTAACTTGGAGGCTTATGGCAGGGTGCATGGTGCACCAGATACTGTATGTCTGCGTCCTGTTGGAGACTTTGGGGAAGTAGCCAGAGCTGGGATGAGCTGGCACCATGCAGAGACTGCACAAACCAGCAAGTGGGTCACATAACCCTTGTGCCTAGACCTGGAGGCCCGGGAGCGGCAGGCACAGACCCAGGGGAGTGAGGAGGAGGAGGAGAGCCGGAGCACCAGGACACTGGAGGAGGAGGTTAGCGCCCGGCCTGAGCACCACCTGCAGTAGCAACAGGAGGAGGGATGGGGGCAGGGGTGATATGTGATGGGGAGGGCTTGTGCTCCCCTTTCTGTGGGAGCTAGGTGATTTGCCCCACCTGCAGGTTGCTGAGTACTTGCTTGTAAGTGGAGCTTCCCAGGGATCTTTACCAGGTGATCAAACCTGGAATTGGATTGGCAAAGAATTGGCACCCCTCCACCCCTCCCTCTATAGATTGCACGCCTACGAGAAGAAGGTTCCCGGCAGCTGGAGGAGCAGCAGAGGCTGATCCAGGAGCAGTTACGCCAGGACCGTGAGCAGAGACTGAGAGGTGAGGGCACTGTGCTCTCCAGTCCCCCAGGCAGCTCCATCTTGGCCAGAGTGGCCACAATGACTGTTCCATTGGATGGCTGTGGAGGCTTCCACCTACAAGAACCTTGCAGACACCCCATGATCCCTTTTCAAACACACTCTGCTGGTCCCTTCTTACTCGTTCTTGGGGAACTGTGTGCTTTTACTGTTCTGGAACCTCCCGGCTATTTAGTTGGTCTTGGTCCCAAGCAGAGTTTTTCTCTTTTGGAGCAGATGAGCAGGGGAAAGGTCCAGGGTACTTGCTTCAGTGGAACTATGTGGTCTGTGGCTCTAGCTTCTGCCCCAGAAGGCTTTCATGACTCTGCATTTGGAGAGAGCTACAGGTGACCTTCAGAAGGTGGGTGGGCAGGCCACCCTGGGTATGGGGCAGGACTGTATCACTTTCCCCACCAGTCCCTCGTCATGGCAGGACAGGTGTTACCCTAGGTCAGGGGTGACCTTATCTAGTCACTCTGGCTTTGGTCCACCTCTCCTATGGGTGCTTCACATTTTCTCTTTTTTCTTTTGCCAATATTTCCAGGAAAGGTGGAAAATACTGAAGGCAGAGGAACTCCCAAGCTAAAGGTGAGTCTCTTCAAAGAACCTCTGTCAGCAGGGGCAGGTGGGCTTCTGGTGGGACACAGGGTGTCTGAGCAGGCTGGCACCACTACCACATCCTTGCCATCCTCCAGCCACTGGAGACCAGGCTGCTTTTCAGTGCTAGCCATGATGGCTCCAGCCTTGGTGGGTGTAGGACAGAGTGTCCCCCCCAAATCCTCTAGAGAGAGTATCTTACAGGGTAAGAAGCATCACTGAGAGGGAGCTGACTGCCTTGCCTCTTGGTTTTTGTGAGGAAAACTTGGTTTTGGTGGTACTCCCTAGATGACAGGTGCATGGAGCCTAGGAGGGCCTCCTCTACACCACTGAGCTCAGATGTAGGCTCTGATGGTGCCAAACCTCAGTGCTTGATGACTCTGTCTTTCAGCTAAAATGGAAGTGCAAGAAGGAGGATGAGTCCCAAGGTGGCTACTCCAAAGATGTCCTCCTGCAGCTTTTACAAAAGGTCAGTAGAGAGGGCACCCTTTTGTGCCAGACCCACCTCCTGTCTCCCAGCACACTCAGGCAAGCCCTCTGCTTCTAAGGTGAAGGCTGCACTAGGCAGTAAAGGAGAGACCTAGCTGGTGGAGGAACGTGGCAACATGGGTGACACAAGGACTGTGCCTGAAGACAGGTTTCTAGGCTGCCCCATGGTCTATGAGACAGTACAAAAGAAAAAGTAGGTAGAGATATTATGGGGAGTGCAGGGCAGGAAGAGTCCTGAGGTTTGGCAGAGTTGTGAGCTGAGATGACAGCACAGAGAGGAAGAGAGCAGTGCCATTATGGCAGCCTGAGTTGTAGGCCTTTGCTCCTCCCCACTTCGCAGTCCTGCATCCCTGAAATAAACTTTTCTATCCTACCTCTGATCTTGCTTCTCTGGGCTCCTAGTAATAAGGTTATTCCCAGTCTGAAAAATGTATCAGTGGGCCTCAGGGCAGCCCTTGTTGGTCTCTGGCACAAGCTGGTCCCTGCCAACAGCTCAGCTACTGGAACCTCCTTATCTCCACAGTATGGCGAGGTTCTCAACCTGGTGCTTTCCAGTAAAAAGGCAGGCACTGCCCTGGTGGAGTTCGCTACTGTCAAAGCTGCGGTGAGTGCTGCCTGCATGGGGCTTAGGAACCACCGAAGGGTGGGGATCCAATTTTGTGGGTGTTTGGCGTTGGTGATCCACACTCAGGAGTCTCTGGGCTGGCTCAAAATGAAAGCTTATTCAAAAGCACCCCAACTCCAGAGTGTTGGGAGAATGATCTTTTAATTTTTTCTGGCTGGCTCATCACTTTCCACCCTACATCTCTGAGTTTTGAGCCCTGGGTTTTTGCTTAGTTAAATCAAAAAGCATATCCCAGGGCTGGTGAGATGGCTCAGTGGTCTAAGGCACCTACTTAGAACAAACTAAGCTAAACAAAGCACAGGGACTGCGGTTCAATCCCCCAGCACCACATGCCAGCCAGCCCCGCCCCCTGGTGAGCTGAGCTGGCCACACACACACACACACACACACAAATAAATAAATAAATAAATAAATATTTAAAATAAATAAATATTTTTTAAAAAAAAAAAGCATATCCCCAGCAGCCTTCCATAAGAAGGGTCAGAGTTTTGGCCCACCAGCATTTTTAGGTTGCTGAGGTTGCCCAGCTCTGCTTGCAGAGCTAAAATGCTGGTTCTGTCCTCTCTGTGAGTTCAGAGGGCCCCCTTGCAGGTGATCTGCATGCATGGCACCAAGACTGGGTGTTCCATTTGACAGGAGCTGGCTTTCCAGAATGAAGTAGGCCTGGTGAATAACCCTCTGAAGATTTCCTGGTTGGAGGGACAGCCCCAGGGCATGGTTGGCCCCAGCCACCCAGTACTGTCAAAGGTAAGGAGCCCGGCCTCACCCAGCTAGGCCTGCTTAGGCTCAAGGCCTTTCTCCCATACTTGTGCCTCAGGTCCCTTTTCTCCCAAGTCAGGTCAGTGGGAGTAGAATGCAGTCTGCATGGGGGCCTGCCCATTAGTTCAGGTGTTTAAGCTGAAACAAAGCAGTCAGGCTCAGGATGCTGTGGTTGGATCCCCTCATCCTCAAGCCAAACCAGACCTGCCCTGAAGGCATTCTGAGCGGCCCCCCAAAAAAGAAATCTGCAGGTTCACCAGCTTGAGAAGGAGGGCTGTAATTCCTTGTTGATCCACTTTCCTCTCTGAGAGCCAGAGGGATCTTACCCTCTGCACTGTAGTTTTTTGTGCTGTGGATCAAGCCTAGAGCTTCATGCATGCTGTGTCACTGAACTGTATGCCCAGCCTAACGGAGCGCTCTTAGCCCCTGATTTCCTTCCACATCCATCTCCTGTTGGGGCTCACTCTTACCCCGAGGGCCCGCAGGTTGCTTGGTTGTAGTGTGAAGCATTTGGAGCTTAGATGACCTAGTGCTGAGGGAGGAGACCACTGCCGAGGGCAGCTGTTTCCTTCTCCAGCTCATCAGTTTTCCAGGATGTCTGTAGCTCCCCAGACAGTAACTGACTGTGAAAGGGCAACAGCCCCTCTAGAAAGAACACTGGCCCCTTGCTGGGGCACTGCTTGCGAGCCCAGGCACCTCACTCAAGGTGTGCAGCTTTCCAGATGCTCGCCCCATGCTGGCTGTCAGTCCTCGGGGCTCCAGAAGGCTTGTGTTCACCCCGCCTCCCAAGGCCATGGTGTTTTTTAACTTCAGTGCAGAGGCTGGGGTTGCAGGACTGTTGGCCACACCTGACCCTTCCTTGGTGGGACAGACTAGTTTGGGGCAAGAGCCAACAGCCTGGCTCTTAGTGTCTCTGAGACATTACAGGTGCCTGTGGAGTGAGCCACAGCCCCACACTAGGTTAGGAGCTGTGCTCACCGTCCATCCCTTCACCTGCTTTGGGCAAGAAGCTACACCCAGAACAGAGGAGAAATATAAAGTGGGCTGAGCCCAGCTCAGGACTCTGGTGCAAAAGCAACATCATTTCCCTACCTTCAAGTCCCAGAACTTCACAACCCCAAGTAACGCTCCACAGGCTGTGGTGGAAAGAACTTTATTACTGGGCTGGTGAGATGGCTCAGTGGTCTAAAGCACCTACTTAGAACAAGCTTAGCAAAGCACAGGGACCACGGTTCAGTCCCCCAGCACCACATGCCAGCCAGCCCCACCCCCTGGTGGGCTGAGCTGGCCACACACACACACACACACACACACACACACACACACATATAAATAAATAAAATAAAATAAAAACTTTATTACTTTTTTTTTTTTTTTTTTTTTTTTTTGTTGAAACAAGGGATTGAACTCAGGACCTTATACTTGCCAGGCAAGCACTTATTCCACTGAGCTATCTCCCTGGCCCCAAGAACTGTATTACTCTTGTATGCACAGAGGGACATTATAGCTCGGCACCGCCACACAAGAGGAGGAAAGAACAAGGCTAGAAAGAACAAGGCTAACGATTTGGGTTGTGGAGGCAGCAGATGTCAGAACTTCTCTCCCCTATGGCCTGGCTGAGAGCTGCTGAGCTCTGCCTTCAGGTCTCTGACAGGCCACAGGGTGAGATAGTAGCACAGCTGGTGGCCTGGGCCAGTGGGCCTGGCTTGCCTGGCAGTCCCATTGTCAGGGGTTTGGCCAAGGCAGAGCACCTCATGCTTGGTGGAAGATTCTGAGGCCTAGATAACGCTTCTTCATCGTTTAGTATTCACCCTGATCCAGTCCTCCTGTCTTCTAGCAAAGATACCTGCTATGGTTTCTGCAGCATTTGCCAAACACTGCCATAGCTGATAATCCTGGGGATCCTAAAGCACCCCTTTGCAATCTGCATTGGTGCCTTTGGCTGACATACCCTCTCTCGGGCCTAGGGATTGCTCCAGACAGCTATAGTGACAGGCTGACTCTTATGTCTTCTTTCCTATTAGCGATTCCTCTGGTCTTGCTCCTCCTGCCTTTCGCTCTTGTGTCTCTACCTACCTCTCCTGCTATCAGCCTGTTCTTGTTCCTGCAGCCCCTTTTGCTTTTGCCTTCCCTGCCCACCCCACACATGGATGGCTCCAGGCCAGCATCTAGCCAGCCAGCTGTCTGTGTTCTTGCTTGTGTTTCCCAGTGTTGTACCATTAACCAGGTACAGTGCAGCTTGTATAGCCAGAAACTGAATTTGCAGTTTTACTTTAATATACTTAAACAGCCACATGTAGCAAGTGGCCACCAAATTAGACAAAGTCAAGCCTATTTCCCCTCTTCTCAGGCCTCCCCACTGCCCCCAAGCCCTCTGGACTTTTGCCCAGATGTGTCCTGTGACCTCTCTGCTGACTGGCTTCAGAGGAGGGTGCTGCAGGGCAGTGTCCATTCTGCCTAGTTGGTGTCCTCACTGTGACTCGCCCCTGTGCCAACTTGTCACTGTGCTGACTTCTGTAGTTACCGGGTGTGGCCTCTCCTTCCTGGCTTCAGCAGCTTCCTTCAGGGTTCCTGCGAGAAAATAAACCCCAGCATTCCCACTGGCCTTTCTTTTCATTCTGATGTATCTTGGAAAGCAGGAAGAACCCTTGCTTTTTCCTTGTTGTACAACTCTACCTGCCTCCTCAGGGTCACCAGGGTCCAGCACTGCCCTGCTCACCCCTCAGAAGCTAAGCTCGCTGGGGAACTGCTCCCTTAGCATCTGTAGAACCTCCTCAAGAAGCGAAATCCCCAGGTCCACCTTGAAGGAGAAGAAAGGGTCACTGAGGTCCGGAGCAGGTGTCCTCTGGAAGGGGGCAGTGTCTGAAAGTTCCTCCTCTGAGGATTGGTGGAGGGTGCCCGTGAGGGAGATTGCCGAGGGCAGGGTGGCTGAGTAGGCAGCAGCATAGGTGGTGGGGGCCTCCAGGATGTTGGGGCAGCTGGAGCTCTCTCGGTAGAGGCGAGGAGGCTTAGGTGGGGCTAGTAAGGTGGCCCGGGGCTGCTCATCACCCCACAAGGGCAGGCGCCGTCCATCTGGCCTCCCTTGAAGTTCCCGGATGACCTCTCGGTTGCTGTACTCTTCGTGATCACCACCAGCAGTGCTGGCTTGGCTAAGCACACTGCCTTGTCGCCGGAGTCGCCGTGGCCGCCCCAGGGTCAGCCGCTTGAGGAAGGAGGCATTGCGGAAGGAGCCTTTCCGCCAGGTCTCCATTGGACCCAGGGGAACCAGCAGATGCCTCAGAAGCCCAGTAGTCAGGCACTCAACAGCAGCTAGTGACCATCTGGTCCCCACTGGGTGGCAAAAGCCAAGAGTGAGGGACAGCCTGGTTGCACTAGAAGCAGAGGCCTGGGTTTCTGCTTAGCATGGTCCTCTGGCTAGCGTCTTGTATGGTGACAGAAGGCCCAGCAAGGAGTGCTCTTTGTCCAGGACAGCAGAGCTGGGAGTTCTGGCAGCAAAAGGTCCCACAGGAACAGGAGTGGCCTGGTTACCTGATAGTGCAGTGGAAAAACCCCAGCCAGAACAGAGCACTTACTGAGCCGGGGCAAGGGCGGCCAGGTGGCAGAGGATGATCCTCATGGGCTCCTTCCGCAGGCAGGAGGCAGATGCGCCGGGCTCTCCCTCTAGCTGCTGTGGGCACCGCCGTCTCTGGGCCAGTGGAGAACTGTGTCTTCTCTGCTGGTGGCTGTAGGGCTCTGATTAGTGGCTTGGCTGTTTGTGCCAGTGTGGCAGTGGCAGTGTTTTGTTTTCAGCTGACTCAGTCAGGTGGGAAGCCGGGTTTCATGCTCTGAGGTAATTGTAGCATCCGCAGGCAGGATCTGGGCAGCCGTGACCAACACCCAGGCCTATGGGGAGCTTCAGATTCCTCTTGAGACTGGTCTAGGGGGCAGCCTGGGTTGTGTCACCGTGCTACTTCCTGTCTCACCATAGCCCCACCACCCTCACCCCAGCCCCCAGTGTGTCTGGGAGTAGCCCAGGAGAGTGAGATGCCTGTCACTGGGGTAGATGACTCAGTCCTGGGGCCTGGTGACAGGCCCTCATTAGCAGAATCTGCAGGAATGGGGGGAAGGAAGCCGAGGGTGTGTTAACAGGAAGCAGCCTGTAAAGGGCTCAGCTCCTCCCAGGGCTGGGCCAGGCCATGCCAAGGGTGACTGCAGCAGTAATTTGGGGAAGGGAGCACTGCCCTCCCCACAGCCTGACAGCCAGTCTGGCTGCTAGGTTTCCTCCTCCTCCCTCCTCACCCTGAGGGCCTCCTGGGAGGACAGCAGTGCCTGTTGCTCCCATCCTTCACCTTCACAGTGGGACCTCCTTGGGCCCCTGTTCTGCAGAAGGGCTGGGCCCAGTGGTGCTGCCATGAATTGTTGGTGCCCTACAGGTCTGGCTGGGAGCAGGCAGCCCAAGCTGTGTGAGGGGACAGGCTGGGCAGGGCTGAGTAGTACTTCCTGTTTCTCTGTGCCCCTTGCTCTGGGGCACAGGGAACCAGTTAGCCAGGGTCTGGCAGCTTAACTCCAGCCACTCTCCTCCTGTTCCCCGGGTCACTGACCATCCAGCTCTCCTCCTGGCCTGTCCCACAGCGTGCACAGTTCCATACTAGCCAGGCCACAGCATCTGCACCTTGTATGTGCTGCACATTTGAGCAGAGGGTGGACCCCACAGTGGTCTCCCAGCAAGGGAGAATGTGATCTGATTTGTACTGCAGACCTCATCAGGGCATGGGGTTGGTGGCCCAGGGCTCCACAACAAGCTGCTTCTCCACCCCACAGCACTGGCCCACTGAGCTGCTTGTTTATTGTTTTTTTTTTGTTTGTTTGTTTTGTGAAACTGGGGATTGAACTCAGGCCCTTGCACTTGCCAGGGAAGCACTTATTCCACTAAGCCATCTCCCTAGCCCCATTTATTATTCTTTTGATTATTAAAATATAGCTCTTTCATTCCACACTGTTCTGGTAAGACCATAAAAGAAACTATGGGCCCTGCCTTCTGAGTGCTGTGTATGTTTAGGGACAAGGTAGCCTCCTGTGTGCTCTCCTGCCATCTAAAGCGAGCTGTTTGAGGCTGTGTCGCATGTAGGGTTCCACCCTATGTCCTTAGACCAGACCCTTTGGGCACAGGAAGGTGGGCAGTGAGGAGGGAATGGTGCTCTGTGCCCAGCAGGACTCCTTCCACTGGAAGCCCGCGAGGCAGGTGTGGATTGGAGGGAAGGAGTGTTGTGTAATGGACTGAGAGGGCAGAAAGACGACAACCTGGCCATACATGGGGAAGTAATTTGCCAGAGAGATGAACCAGAGCTGACTGGATGTAGCAGTCCTGGGTAGGAGGCAGCTGGCAGAGGAAGCCAGGTCTGGGGAGCAGGACCTGCTGTCTTTGAAAGCACACAGATGAGTTGGAGCTCTGGAAGGGTGTTTCCAGGCCCTTCCTTTCTTGTCTTCTTCCCTTCACGACTCTTGGACTGCAGCTCTGCCCAGGCCCCATGCTCTGAGTCTGGAGCCTGTGGGACTGTGCCCTGATGCCTCTGACATCTCCCTGTCCCTTCTGTCTTCCAGGGTTCAGTGCTGTCCGAGAGGGACTATGAGAGCCTCGTCATGATGCGCATGCGCCAGGCAGCTGAGCGCCAACAACTGATCGCCCAAATGCAACAGGAGGACGAGGGGCAGCCCACGTAGCCTCAGACTCCTACCCTCCCTCCCCATAGCCTTTTTCTTAACCAGTTCCAATAAACTTTTTAAAAAAGGTCTACCACTGTCCCATGCCTAGGTGTATAGCACTGGGCTCCTTCTCTGGGCGGGGCAGACCCCCCAGGAATTTGAGTCATGAGTCACTGCCAGGCAGAGCAACCACTCATCAGAGCCTTTTATTGGCGTGGATAGGCCACACAGCATCTGCCCACCCCTCCTGGGCTGTCCTCCTCTGGACTGCAAGCTCTGGCTGGGCAGCCTGCAGCTGGGGATGATGTAACACTTGGCCCAGCCCCACCCCCACCCCTGACCAGGGCAAGGCCAACCCTACCCATCCATGCTTGGCTGAAGATGACAATATGGACAAGAGAGCAGGCAGTCAGTGAAGCAGGTGCCCCTTCTAGCATGAGAAGGTCACTCCTTATGCAGGCACCACACCAGGGTCTGGCCCACACCTGTCATGCTCAACACGCGGAAGCCCCTGCGCTCCAGCTTGTCCAAGACTATGCGAGGCGGGTCGTTGACATAGTATTCACAGCTGCAAAGAGAACAGGTGACATGTGAAGGAACACAGAGCAAGCGTCACACAAGTCCGGGAGTTAGGCTGGTCAAGAGCTCAAGTGGTGTTTGCTAAGTGCTTCCTGGATAGCAGGCTAAGTGCACATTCAGAGCTGCCTCCTATCAAGCACTTCAAATGCTTTAGTTGATTTTTTTTCCTCCTAAACCTAACAAAGATAGTCGTCTTATTGCCATTCACACCTTAGAACACAGAGAGACTTTAGCAGCTTTCAGTAACCCCGTGGTAGTCTGTAGTCCACAGCCCTTCCCTCCCTGCGCTCTTCATCCTGGCATCTGGGCCCCTCTGGCTGCCCTGCTGTCCTGCAGTCCTGGAACCACAAGGCTGGCCCTTGCCTGGCATGGACAATGCTTGGTGCTGCAGGACTGTGAAGCAAGTTGTGGGGGTGCCTCCTGGCCAAGGGGTAATGTTGGCTTCTGATCCTTAGCCATGACCCAAAGGGCTGGGCATGGATCTTTGCACTGAAACCGATTCTGGCAGCTCTTCTCTCAAGATTCCAGAATCTGTGTGGCCAGGACCACCCCAAACCTTCACCGCTAGGTAGGAGGGATATGGGCAGAAAAGGAAGCAGGCGTCTTAGTTTGGATGTGAAGATGGGGTAAGGGCAGCTGAGGAAGTGGCCAAGTCCGTGGGCTACAACAGAACTGGAAGCAGGGCCCAGGCATCCTGCTGTTTCTGTTTCTAGAGCTGAGAGGGTGGCACAAGCAATGTGGAGCCCTAGCCAGTGAGGGCTTTCTGACTGGGGAGGAGGAGCTGCAGATGAGACCAGCTAGAGTCTAGCACCTCAAGCAAAGGTAACAGGGTCCAGGCTGACTGATGAACAAAGGACATGCAGGACAAGGAGCTCCCAGGGAGAAGGTACTGAAGGACACCCCTACTTACAAGTTGTTCCCCAGGACACTTCTCTTGGAGGCCCCCAGATGCTGCATCAGCTCCGGATCCGAGTGCTCATCGCCCACCATGGTGGGGCCCACCTCCTGCAAGGTAAGCCAGGTGGCTGCCTGCTTGGTTGCCAGGGTCCTAGAAGATCTCATTCTGCTGCCTCAGCTGCCTCCCATCCCTGGGCAAACCAGGTAAGGGCTGGAAGCAGAGGTGAGGGGCCATGGAGTCTGAGACCAAGCTGGGAAGGGGTGGGCTCATCAATGATCAGCCGCGCTGTGTGGGTCTTCCTGACCCCCCACAGAGCGGGGCACTGCACCATGCATGGCACCCCACACAGGCCCCTCCCCCATGTCTGCACTGAGATCACCTGGAGACCAAAAGACATGAACACACAGGTTCACACAAAAGCTTGTGCCCAGGCAAATGAATTTAAATTCAGAACAAGAAAAAGGAAAACCCAAAACTTGTTCACATGTTAATTAGCAGTCTTATTTGTAATAGCCAAAAGGTGGAAACAAAAGTTTGTCATTTGATGACTGGATAAATAGAATGCATACTCTAAGTGGCAGTCAAGGCATGAGTACCAATCCCTGCTGCAATGTGGATGGAGCCCAAAAACAAGGAAGGAAGAGAAGCCGGACACAGGAGACCATGGAAGGGCAGCGGGTGGGTCACATGGGCTTGGGGACATGAGTATAATGGGTTCCTTCAGAAGTGTTAGGAACGTTTTAAAATTATGTTTCCTGAACTCTGAATATGAACAAAATGTGTAGGTGCTAAGCAAGTGAATTTTTTGGAATCTGTAATATACCAGTAAGCTACATTGTAAATAAAAGAATTATTAAAGCAAGATATTTCTAAATATGCATGTCAAAGTTGAAAAAGTGTGCTGGGAAGGGGTCCAGGAACCCATAGTTAGCCACTGTACAGTGCAGATTATTGATCCCAGACCGTTCCCGTCAGGGCAAACTTGCCCACCTGCGCTTTCCTTCGTCCCAAGGGGACTGGGTAGCCTCTGCTGGTCATCCCATCGTCAGAAGGTGGGGAGGATTACCCTAATGCTGAGGGTGGGGGGGAGCACCCAAGCACCTTCATTTTCCAAAGAAAACACCTAGACCTGGTCTCCTGGCTGTGGTCCCTCCTTCCTTCAAGCTGGCTGGGGCAGACCCTCCCTGGGAGGGCCTCAGGACCCCACAGCGGCCGCACGTGGCCAGTACTCACCACAGGCCGTGCAGCGCCTTCGCCGCTCCATGTCCTTCCCATACCTGCGTCCTCAGGTATGGCTTTCACGTGGAGCGGCTCCAGGAGGGCACTGTGTAGCACGTGGGAGGCCTGGGCTCCCCACTGCCGGGCGTCGTGGGACAGGTCCCTCCTTGCACCCAGTCCCTAGGTGCCTCCCAGCGCGGGGCGTGTCTCCCAGATCCGGCCCAGCGCCGCCCGGAGCACCCAGGTCCCTTGGGGCCCTCGCGGCGGGGGCGGATACTCACCATGCGGATCTGGGTGCTGATGAGCAGGTAGGGCATGGCTCACCTTCTACCGTCACCCCTGCGCCCCTGGGCGTCGGACCCCTCGGGCTGTTGGGACCCGCGGCACACTGAGCGTCCCGTTACTCCGGCTGGGTTGCCCCGCACCGACCCCGCCCCTTGCCGCCCCTGCGGCCCGCCAATCAGCTGCAGGCGCTGTGTCGCTCCAGGCCCCGCCCCCTGCGCGCCTCTTAGCGAACTTGGACCCCGGGCCAGCTGCGGTCTCTGGGTCTCCGTGCAGCTGAGCTGTCCTGTGACTAGGGGCTGGGTGTGCAGGGCAGGGATATCTTAGAGGATTGGACACGTACTGACCTCGCGCCCTCTTCCTGCAGCACCTCCAAGTCCTGCTGGTCCCCGCCAGTTTCCATACGGGAGAGTGGAGAGCGATGGTGGTAGGCCAGCAGCCACCTGCCCAGGAATGCTGACACCTTTAGCGGATTCCCACATCCCCTCTCCAGAACACGTTTCCCAGAGATTCTTTAAGCGCCCCGCAGGCTGGGGCAGGAAGCTTGTGGCTACCCCTGAATGCCGGGGCTGAAATTCCCTCCTGGAGCAAAGTGCAGTGGCCCAGGGACTAATTCCCAGGGGCTGGGCCTTGCGTTTCTGAGGTGCTACAGTAATTGTGGGAGCCAAGCGCTGCTCCGTGCCAGGCTGCAGGGACTCCAAGGAAGGAATGCATCACCGCCACAGCCACCCCCGTGCCAGGCGCAATTGCAGGTCACAAGGCGACACTTGGGGCAGGTGAACAGCTTCCCCCCACACACACCAGCTACCCGCAAGGGCAGCAAGTTCCTGGCCAGTGTCCCCACCCACATCTGGCTGCAGCAAAATCTGACAGCTCAGCCTCAGTAGGAGTGGTTCCCTAAAAAGCAAAATAAAAGGACATAGCTACATAACCTCATCCCCACAGGTCCAGGAAACATTTGTTTTTCCCTCAAGCGTATTCACAGGCTAGACTTGCAAAGAAAGTAGAAGTCCTGGTCCTAAAGGGACCCTCTGTGGTTCCCACCGTGCCCTCTCCCCTGGACTGGTCTAATGATTTAGTGAGAGGGGGAAAATGCTCGTCATGCTCAGCAAAGAACTTGTGAAAAATGACAGAAGAGTCATGCCCATGTTCCCATAAAGAATTCATACAAATCAGTGAGGAAAAGATAAAGCAATGCTGTAGAAAAACCACAGACAAGCAATGTGAGGAGCATGGCATGAAAGAGCCCCAGGACCACTAGAAATAAAAATTCAGCTACATTTTAAATACGATGCAATGCTGCTATACAGATTAACAAAAAAGAAGAAAAGATTTAATATTTGTAGGGATGGGGCCCGGGAGGTGGCTCAGTAGGATAAGCGCTTGACTGGCAAACGCAAGGATCTGAGTTCAATCCCCGGTTCCGCCAAAATAAATAAATAAATAAAATAAAATTTGTAGGGCTGGACAGATAGCTCAGTAAAATAAGCACTTGCCTGGCAAGTGCAAGGGCCTGAGTTCAATACCCGATTCCACCAAACAAAAATTGATGAAGCTTATACAAACGACATGGACCCCTGTGCTAAAACTGGACCTCTCATAGATGAGCCTTAGGAAAACTCACTCTCAGGGACCAGGCATCACTATAATTGGCAAAAGTCTGGAAGCAGCCCCTATGTTTGTAAAAGGAGACTAGATTTTTTTTTTTTTTTTTTTTTTGTGGCAGAACAGGGGATTGAACTCAGGCCCTTGTGCTTGCCAGGGAAGCACTTATTCCACTGAACCATCTCTCTGGCTCTTCTTCTTCTTCTTCTTC